AGGTCTTGCACTCCAGAGAAAATGAGCTTGCATTAGCTTTTACATGGCAACCCTTCAAATATTCAGAGATGGTTCCTCATAATCTCTTCTCTGAGTTAAATATATCCAGCTCCCTCAATTGTTATTCATAGGACTTGGTTTCCTTAACCAATAGCCATCGTCCTTTGGGCATATTCCAGTTTGCCAATACCCTTCTTAAACAGTGGTGCCCAAAACTGGATACAATATTTCAGGTGTAGTCTGACGAAAGCAAAATGGAATGTTACTATGACTTTGCTTGACCTGAAAACTACCCTTCTGTTGATCCAGGTTAGCATTGCATTTGCTTGTTATTATTGTTGCCCTATTTCATTGTTTTCTCATGTTGAATTTATAATGTATTAAGATCCCTAGTCCTTTTCACATCTACTACCGCCAAGCTAGTTGTCATCCAATGTATATCTCTGCATCTCAGTTTTCCTGCCCAAATGGAACTTTACATTTTCCCCTTTTGAAACTCATTGTTTATATTGGCTCTGTTCTTTATTTACTAATGTCATCCTGAAACCGTATTCTCTCCTTGGAAGTATAAACGAACACACACACCCCGTTTGATGTTCTTTGCAAATTTAATTAGTATCCCCTCTGCTCGTTGATCCACATCATTTAGAAAGATGTTGAATACTGGGTTAATGTCTTTAACCCCTCTGTCAGCTTTCCCACGCAGCCTGCTGACATGGAAACTCAGAGATCAGAAGAAAGCCCATTATCCACAGCAGATATTCCTTCCCACAAGAGAATGTATTTGTCGTTTGTGTGGAACCAGAGAAAGATGGATAAGACAGAGATCCAGTGTTTGGGGTGCCCCCTGGACTAGTTCAGGAGGCATCTGCCTGAGCTGGATGGATTCATTCCCTCTGTCTGGGATTGAGTTTGACTTTTGAGGGGGTTATTTGAGACTCAGCCCTTTCATGGAAACAACAGAATTCTGCTGTGTCCAGGTTAGTCCTCAACCAGCTGTGCTGGTGAGCTCAAGGACTGACTACTGTAACACTCTTCATAGGGCTGCCCTTGGGCCTGACTTGGAGACTGCAGCAGGTGCAGCATGTGGCAGCTAGCCTGATTTCAGGCAGAAAGAAGTTTTTATTTTGCCATTTGTAGCTCGTCTGCATTGGCTCAGTGTGCTTCTCTGATCCAGATGTACAAGGTGCTGGTACAAAGCCTTCAACATTTTGAGGCTTCATGACATGTTGGGACACCTCCACTTAAGACATTCTGCTGGTCTTCTCAAGTCAGAGGCACAGAGGGTTGTTACTAAAAATCGAGCCTTCTCAGCGGTGGCCCCATTCTTATTGAACAGCCCCCCCCCCCTGGAGAACTATCAGGTCCTTTCTTTGATTACATTCAAAAGGTTACTGAAAACTGAGCTTTTCAAATACTGTACAGTAAGTGTTTAGAGACATCCTTCCCTATGATGACAGCAGGATTTGATTTTACTTTGCCCTCCCATCATCATTAGTTGAGGCATTTTTAGTTTTCTTGTTATTTAATTTTTAGTGTGTCTATTTTGTCATTATAGTGTATGGAATTGCAGGCAGGATGTTTATGCTTATCTATCTATCTATCTATCTATTATCTATCTATCTATCTATCTATCTATCTATCTATCTATCTATCTATCTATCTATCTATCTATCTATCTATCTATCTATCTATCTATCTATCTATCTATCTATCTATCTATCTATCCCACTCCCATTACTGTCACAGCACTACTCTGGGTGGGTTACAACTAATAAAATAGGAACCCAAGATAAAAATAGAGATATTAAAGCCAATAGCAAGAACCCTAAAAAAAACGAGATAGCACCAACTAATCCCAGAGTGGATGGATGAAAAGAGGGGAGAGAAGAAGAGGAGGGGAAAGAAAAAAGGGGGGGCGGTGTGGAAAGCCTCCCTGAAAAGCAGTATCTTTAATTGCTTCCTAAAAGTCCACAGGGAAGGGACTAGGCTGAGCTCCTCCGGAAGCTGGTTCCATAAAGTTGGAGCCACGGCCAAGAAGGCCCTACCTCTTATAGAGGATTTATGGGCCTCCCTCGGGGTGGCCACCAAAAGGAGCCTCGACTGGGATGATCTTGTGGGTCGGGCAGATTACATTAATGAGGGTTATGTTTGTCGTTAACCATCCTGAGTAGAGCACAGCACCAAGTTGGGCAGTATACAAATGTACAAAAGGAATGAAAGAATGAATGGTTCTTAAGAACTGTTAGGACTCTAACTAAACAACTCACCCAGTCCATGAGCTTCTGCTCAAGAGTTCACTGGGTCAGTGAGTGCAGCTGCAGATCTAGCAGCTGCTAACTCAACCGCCAACCAGACTGGGTAAATACATGCTTAAACCCATTCATTTCAGTGGACGTCTGTGTTAGTAACAAGGTGCTGCTTGGAGCCATATTTACATATAATGGCCTGAAATGAGTGTATGTGAAACACATGTTTCACAGCTAAACATGTGTTAAATGTAGTAGCCATTTAACACAAGTTTATCTGGTTTAATTCTTTCCTTTGAACACCACACTTTTGTATTATATGCATACTGGCTCTAGACTCCACAAAATACAGGCCTCCCTCAGGATCTGCACCTGCTGCCTAACAACAAAATCTGCATAGCAGTTTGAAGTATTCAGAGTACTTAATGTGGGTTTATCTAGTTAAAACCCTTACAGCAACTGTGTTTGGTATATCAGTATTATGAGCCTCTGTATTGCAGACAAGTGAAAAATTCAGTTGAAAGAGTGCCTTGCCTAGCACCACAGCAGATAAAAAGGTGATTTTAGACACGAGGTTCAAATCTGTAACTCCCTGATACACATTCTCCTAGGCTCCCATCATACACTGGCCGAAATCCTGTTGCACTGCTACGTAAGAGGCATAACTTTTGTGGGCAAATTACATAAAAGTTAAGATAAATATAATAGATTTTTGTATTCATAGATATCATTTGTGGCTCCCCGAGTCATGTCACTCAGTATGGCAAAAATATGTAATCAGTGTCATAATGAGGCCCTTAGCTACTAAACTATCAGCTCCCATTATCATGAGGTGCATTCTGCAAATAGTATCTGCACACCAATTCCAAATTTTACATTTGAATAGAATGGCCAAGAAACAATATCCAAGACAACACTGCAGTATAAGGATCAGCCTTGGTTCTCAGTGGCAGTCTATGAGCTATTCTCACTCCAGTGACTGGGATTACTAGAAAGTTTCTTTTCCACAAATGTCACTGGGAACAAAATATTACTTTTCCCCAAGTACATGGAAATGTGTGTGCTAACAAAGCGCTGCACTGTGTTGAGACAGAGTCTATACTTGTACATCACTCTTGCCACGGGCAACCACTGTTTATTGCAGAGTTTGACCATCGATGGCCATTATGGCCTTAATGGCACTTCTTGTGTCCTGAGAAAAACCCCTTCCCATGCCCCTCCTCAGGCAAACCATGCCACAGGTACCAGTAAGAGAAGTCTGTATCCAGATAAACATGGAGGGGGCTACAGAGACAAGGCTCTCATACCTTCCCAGCAAAGAAAAAAAATTGCTGAGATGAGCCTGCAGGTGCATTATATGTGTGCTTTGAGACTCCAACATTCATGTACTCATACTCCTTCCTACAGGATTTAAAGGAGCCACATGAATAATTGCCCTGTCTTTTGTCCTAAAATAAATCCCATGATATAAGCTAGGATATACACGTGTTTGTGTGCGAGGCAGACCAACACTGCAGAACTACCGCCTCTTTTAAGGAAAGTCAATAGCTCTCGCTCCTTCCAATCAACCCACAGAGGACCAAGCAGGACGAGGCAGGAAATTAATGTAGGCTGAGCATGGAAGAGGAACACAGCAATGGAAAACCAGGGTGGTGGCAGCAGTGGAACTGAGTATCTTGAAAGAAGGCACAGCTGGAACAGTAAACAGGAGCATCTCACTCCAGTTACAGTGGTTACAGGCCCCATTTGGGTATTCAGTTGCAAATATTTTATACATGATCCTGTTGCTGCCTAAGTAGGCAACCCACCCTCATATACTGTACATAAAGTTTCTCACTCTGTGCCTGATATAAGAGCTGCCCGAGTCAGGCCTTGGCCCCCAACTTGCTCACTGCCACCACCACCACAGACATAAATCTGACAGGATTCAATAAAACTCTGTCTGTGCAGTATCCAGATAGTAGCTTCCCCTAACAACTAATACGTCAAACCTCTTTTGCTGCCAAACTCCTTTTGTAAGAAGATGTGCTTGTAGCGGCCCTCTGTTACATTTCCTTTGAAGGATTACCTGAGACAGACAGGTCTCTTGCCACAAGCACCGCATCTGTATGCTTTAGTGAGGGAATGGTAGACATGATGGCTCCGGACATACTTGCTTTTAAGCTGAAGAAGCCATTTCTTGCGACTGCGAATGTCAGTCTCCCCACCAAGCTAGAAGTGAAAGGAAACGCAACTCATAATAATGAGCTGGGATCACACCTATTTGATAGTAAATAGCTAGCTAGTTGGTACATGCCATGGCCTAAGGGTTTTTTGTATCTGGCATGGGAACTTATATAACACTTCAAGCCTGTGTATTTTTTTTAAAGAAAGTACATATTAGAATAGAAGGTTGAATAAAGAAAAAAATCTAAGAAAAAAGCACACTTCTACCTGTCACCTAAAATGGCTGATTTAAGTGAAAGCTATATCATTAAAAAGCATTTCATTCCTCCTCATTTAAAGACCACAAACAAAGTTAAAATTGCCTTCTAACAATAAGGCAATTCTCATCATTATGGAAACTGAGGATAGTCTTCTTCATTTTGAAGGAAAACATTTAAAATTCTGAGGATTTGACACTTTTTAGAATGTACAAGTGACTAATTTATCTAAAAATGATACAACACATTGCCCCTTTTTAGTCTGCAGGGGAAAAGTTAAGTAATGAACTGATCATATCTGAATTTATTTTAGTCCAGGTGTGTGTATTTGTGTAATTTTGCCAAGCATGTACATGTAATGTATAAAAAACATTAACACAGAATCCAATAGTGTGAGTTGCATGGGTACTCGTGAAAAAATAGAGGCAGAGAAAATACTTGTAGAATACAGTATAGCAATATAAGCCAATTTGCCCACCTTGTATGTGAATATGAGTGATGAAATGTGTGCAAAATTGGCAGATGTTATGTTTTGAAACACAAAATACCAGGTATAATCAAAGAGATCTTGGGGGGCTTCCATCATTCAAGAGTGAAACAATGGAGAAGTAATAGACACCTCCTCTCCAACATACACATACCACACATCGTAACTGAGACCATGCACTGCTCTTTCAGTCATATTGCCTGTTAATTTGAATACTAATCATGACAGATGCTTCTTGTGTTCCACAGGTCAAAACGTTTTGATAAATCTACGGGTGAATCAAAATATGAGGCTGCTAATGTCTTCTGGTGGAGGACCTTCTCCAGAGCAGAAATTCTCAACGCAACTTTTTTCAGAAGAGAAGCTACACCCCATCCAACACAACATCCCTCTTCAAATTCTGCATGTCACAGTTGTGAAAAGGAATAGAGGACCTTCCAACTGTATTTAAGGGTCATCTTCTGTATTGGAATACAAGGTATGCAACAAAAGACAAAAATTTCCAAAGAAAAGCTCAATAGCAAATTGAATGAAATAGAAGCAACAACCTTGTTGACATAAGAAATTTGCAGATTAAAAGAGGAACTGGTCAAAACAGATTGAATGAGAGTATCTTCCTTGAACGATTCACAGCATTTGTTAAACTTTTCAGCATTCACAGCGTCGTTAGCTTTTCAAAAAACAAGTGTTCAGCTCATATAGCATACAGTTTCTTACATCACCACAAAACACAAAATGTTTTTTTAAAATATGCATATTTACCATTTTTTATACTTCTGGAGCAAAACCGTTAACAAATAAGTTATATCTTAGAACAATAAAACAAACTTTGTCTCACAAAGCAACAAAATGTTAAAAAACTACTTTCCCCAAAAGGTCCTGTAAACGTCAAAGAACATTAAGCACAATCTAGGAGCAACAGCAGAAATTTCACAGCATCACTGCCTCTGTGGGGCTGTTTCTTTTGCTCTCAAAAGATGCTGGCCTGGCACCAGGCACCACTTCTTAAGAGCGTAATAGGCTATGAATGAACTGTAATGAGGTCAAAAGTAGGAACTGTTGGCAAAACAAAAGGGAGTGATTTCCACAACTTCAAAACTTCTTCCTAAGGTTAAGAAAGAACACCACCTTGAGTTGAAGGTCGAAAAACCAGGATCAACTTTTGCAGAACCAACCCCAGGCAGCATGCTCCAAAATGAAGGTGAAACCCAATGTTGAAATTCTTCTCAGGCACCACTGACATGAGTGAGGATTCTGCAGGAGCACGAGGGCAGTGCTGTGAGAATTTCATAGTGGACAGCATACTTATCTTTTAAACAGCATTTGTTTTTAAAAAAATCCCTTTTTATCTTGCTTTGACAGCAATTCCTCTCTTTTAACTTACCTTAGTTTTTCAATACAGCCACTGAAGAAAGAATACTTAGCTGGTCACATCCCTGCATAAAGATTTGATTCCCTCATCAGTACAGTAATCACCATACAGCATATTGCTAAAGCTATCCAATAGGATATATATAAATATATATATTTGTTTCTATATCAGTGCCATTTGGTTTTTAATTCTTTACGCTGTCTTTTTTTACGAAGTCCTATCAGCATGAAATCAATGCTGTCTATTTACACTGAATTGAAGAAACACTATACAGTTCCATCTGGGCAATTCACTATAGAGAACTGTTCTTGAGATGCTGTGTCTGAAGGGGTTTTACGTGATATTCATAGATCTTCAGTGCAGGCCCCAGTTTTAATGAAAGTCCCGTCAACACATCGTTCCTTGTCATCAGTAGTAAAGACTTCCCATCAATTTCCTAGGCAGAAACAAATAAATAAACATGTAAGGAAAACACAGAGCAGAGCTTAGAAATATTAGTGACGGTGTTAACATATTCAGGTTAAATTGCTAAAGAAGTGTGATTTCTTCTTCATTCTTCTTCATTTATATATATCCTATTGGATAGCTTTATTTTCTCTCAAAGTACTCAAGGTGACTTACAATGTATTGAAAAGACAAATCCACTTAAAAACACAATACATTCCAATAGTTAAAAAGCTAATAAAATGTGTTACTTTATACAGTGGACCCTCTACTTAAGGAATTAATCCGTATTGGGACGGTGGCTGTAAGTTGAAAAGTCTGTAGGTTGAATCTCCATTGACCTACAATGCACTGAAAACTGATTAATCCCACAACTGGCAGTTTTTATTCACATATTCAGGTTAAATTGCTAAAGAAGTGTGATTTCTTCTTCATTCATTCATTTTATTTATATTTTACTTTTCTCTCAAAGTACTCAAGGTGACTTACAATGTATTGAAAAGACAAATCCACTTAAAAACAATACATTCCAATAGTTAAAAAGCCAATAAAATGTATTACTTTATAGTATTAGAAAAGTCCATGAAAAAAAGGACATTTTAAACATATACTACAAGAAATTTAGCAAGTACAGCATCCTTGATTAAAGCTTTTCCTTTACAGCTAGTCAATAACAGTAACCCAATCCATATAAAATGTTTTTAAAAATCTTAAATGCTCAGAAAATTAATTCTGTAATTGATTTGTTAATCTATTAAATCTCAAAACACCATTTCCATCAGTTGGGAAGGACCATAGCAAGTTAATGTAATAAGAATCGGTAAATCATTGATAGTTAGAATGTTAATGATTACAACAATACATTTTTAATTTGTTGCTGAAACTTGCAGGGAATTAGGGTAACAAATTATGCTTAACTTAATTACTTTCAAGCTCTGGCAGAGAGAGGACACAAACCTGAAGGGAAAAAGAGAGACAGCCACACAACTGGAACAGTTTGTAGCTCATCATTAAGGATCCAATAGGCTACTGTAGTTATATGGGCCAGCAATAACACTAAGAGTTGTGTTTCCTTTTCCTCTCAACTGGGTGGAACTAAGTCCCAAAAAGAGGTTGATCATGGGAATTATGGAAGAGCACAGAAATTGGACTGTATGAAGTGTCTAACCACAGTACGCCCAGCAAGAGCATGTGTTTACTATCATTACTAACATTATCACTTATTCCCAACATTATCACTTTAGAAGAAAAAAGTTTCCCACTAGAGGGCACATTTGAGTTTTCCAGTTTAAAATCTAGTTTTTGAAAGAAATTGTTTATGGGGTGGGGTGGGGGTCATGGCACCAATTCATTAAGGTCCCAGGATCAACATATGTGATCCCCAGACCTCTGGAGATTGCCCACTCTTTTGATAGACACCTGTAAATAGGATATAGTTTTTTTCTCTTCATTCCCAACTTCCATAAACAAAACTGCGACATCAGCTAATATTAAAACACAACTTAGTGCTCTTGATACAAGTTGATTAGCCATACTTATATTATATATTTTCAATTAACTTCAACAGCTGCATATGCTATGCTGTGCAAAAATCATGCATGATAAAGACAACATTGGAATCTTGTACGTATGTAAAAAATCATGCATGATTAAGATGACCCTGGAATCTTGTACGCGTTAACTTGTTATTGTTATGTGGCATCAAGTAGTCTCTGAGGTAGGTTAATTTAGGACTCTATACATCTAATATACTAATAAAACATCTGTCACTGCCTGTTCTCTCTGATCAAATCCATCAATATTATTTGTTACCTAAACATTTTGTAAACTATTTCCCCAGATTTCAACCACTTGCCAAATACATTGCTGTAGGTGACAAAATAGCGTTAGCAAATCTAATTGTTTATACCATGGTTACTTCTTTACAGCAGCCGATATATGGGGACAAGGAACATCTCATGCCATTTTTCAACAGCCCACTATGATGGAACAATGACATGCTCTAGTTGTCCGTTTTTTGATCCCATTGGGAATAAGCTGAAATTTCTTCCATTACAGTCAGGAAATACATAAGACTTTCTTTCCTTTCTTTCCTGTAACCTTAACCATTAATCCTACCCAAAACTTTCAACCCATTAGAATCTGCACTGTGCTGAGTGATGGGTTGAAAAGAAAACTAACTTATAGGCAGACTTCCCTGCTGGAGCAGAATTTTTATTAAATTATTATAGTTGTGATGATTACTGTCATTATAACAATGTATCATTGTTATAATCATTACAGTCCTCATAATTATCCTCATAATTTTTTTAAAAATGCTCTCCAGCAGCAGGTTTCATGGCTAGGCCAAAAGTACGGTTGGGACAAGTTTACAGAGCAATGGAAGCCTAAGAGTGCCAACTGGTTGGCAAGATCAGTGTGAATGGAACTCGCAAATTTTTGTGATTTTTGTTTCTCCACTTCCACAAGAAGCATATCTCAGAAATAATGTGGGAAGCACTGACATTTCTTCAGGCAAACTACCTTCTTCCAGGTCATAATGATTTTTTACATCATTCATGCTCCATCTTCTCTCTGACTCAGAGAAGATTCAATTCTTAAAAAAAAAATCAAGTTTATAAGTGTGCTTTTGTACCCACAATTCAAACCACCAGGAAATGATTTGATATTGCTGCAAAATATCATGCCCATGTCACTAACAGGAAAACGGGCCCCACACTTTACATAGCAAAGGGAAGACTGGATGTTGATGATAGCAAAAGCAGCAGTCAAGGTGGTCCACAGGATACCCTCTTGTGTTCACGACCATTCACAAAGAGACACCAAGCAGGGGAAGATCTCAAAACCTGACTCCTTTTCCCCCGTAAGTTAACTATGTCTCCCTAAATACAAAGCAATTGTTCAGGCTGTTTTTCAACAAGTGATCTTGTTGTTGATCTAAAGCAGTTTAAAAGTTACAATTTTTGTCTGGGCTGCCCCCATTTTTAGAACGTCCTCATAGAATTTTCTTTTCTATTTTGCTCTGCTGCCTAAGATCACCGCTGCACACCTGTGCAGCAATAATGACTCCATGGAGCGCTAACCTCCTCTGAGCAAAGTGCGGTCCAGTCACCAGATTATCACGTTGCCTGCAATAACTTTGGCAACAGAATAATGACCCACACATGAGAAGAACATGGAAACTAAATGGGGAAAAAAGTTAGTTAGTAGAGCATGACTGAATTTAGTAATCACTTAGGTATGTAATATACATAAACTAATACAAATAATCACTGAAATCCAAAGACACAAAAAACTGATACAATTTTTTGCAAGGAAGGCTTTATTTTGGCTAGAGGGCAAGACCAGGACAAGCTCCTTTCACAAGTGCAAGGTTAAGTCATAGCTAGTAAAAGAACACAAATATCCCAGTCCCAAGTGTACCTGATGTGAGTCCGGACCTCGGAACCAGCCCGTCCACTTACACAACTCCGCACTGCCAGTGTCCCCCTTTCATGCCAATCACAGAAGTAGCTCCACCGTCTCCTGGCTCAGCTGGCCATTCCAGGCGGGGGAGGGGGCAGCGGGAAGACAAGTCTCCCCACATGGCTGCTGAGTGGCCAGCCAAGCAGGAAGATGGCAGAACTGCTTCTGTGAATGGCGGGAAGAGCGGGAATGTTGGCAGCATGTGAGTGGACAGGCCGGTTCTGAGGGCTGGACCTGCATTAGGTGCACCTGGGATGGAGATATTCATATTCATTTACAAATGCAGATATCTCCACCTCTAACAACCACTGGCATAGCAGCTTGAGAATACATATATAAGATGCACCTGATAAAATGGGCTGCAATCTATGAGAGTAAGATTTGTCTTTAAGATGCCACTGAGATTCCTTGTGGTTTATGCAGGTCCCGTCATGGTCCTTGCAGAATGAGAACAGGATTACGAAAAGTGCTTTGCATTGGGCTTGTATCACCTTCCTGTTGTTGACTGCAGATACCTTCTGCTTTTAGAAAACGGTTCTAAAAGTTGTCAGCAGTGTAGGATATCAAAACTGACTGCAACCCGGCATAATAAAGCCATCAAAACGCATTCAAAATACACACACCCTAAAAACAACAACCCAAAAGTGACTTTCTCCACCCTTTCCAAAAACTTTATTAAACAAGAATGTTGCTACTTCCATTCTATCTGAATGTTGTGAGAGACCTCCACTGGCCCATCTCAGCACATGAAACATCCCAAATATGGTGAAGATAATTTGTATATACTTTGCATTGTGTATATAGACTGTGAAAGAGTATACAATTTCCTAAACAAAGCTGTAACTTGGTAAGAGACAGGAGGAACTAGCTAGCCGGAATAAAGCTGTTACTGATCATAAGGTTGGCTTGAATGCACAGCCACAACACAATATTTTTGTAAGTCCATCCAACGTAAAGTACAGCAAAAGTTTTTAGCAGCTCAATTATCCAGGCGCGACAGCTACCTCTTACCAATCAGAGAAGACAGAATTCAGTGACTACCTGGTTCTTCCTTAATTTCAACGCTTTCATTGCCATTCAGTATAATTCGCTTTGTAATGACTTTCTTGCCATTCACAATCTTGCTCGTCGTTATTATGGACCTGAAATTGCCTTTCACGTTGCCGTCCGAAGAGCAGGAACAGCCCTTGGTGATTTCAGGACCAAAGGAAGTGAATCCAGTACCTGCAATAGGAGACACCCCTTTGATCGAAATGGAAAAGCTACTGCTTCTGCTTCTGCGGAGGCTTGGTTGAGCCCCAGAAATATCATTAAGCAGATCATCAAAGATCTTTAGTGAAAACGAATCCATCCCATTGTGTCCATCTGGGTGGGCTTTATGGAAACCGGGTTCAGTGTCAGAATGTTTTCTTTCAGGCGTTTTGTTTTTTTGCCCACCATCTGGCCTCCGTCTACTTTCCCCTCTTCCTCCTCCCGTTGGCCTTTCTTGTTCACAGAGATTCCTCTTGATTAATCGGTCATAAGCATCCCTTTTTTCAGCATCAGATAAGACCTGATAGGCTTTTGAGATTTTTTGGAATTTCTTCGCTGCTGCTTCCCTGTTTTCGGGATTTTTATCAGGGTGCACTTTTAAGGCCAGCTGATGGTAAGCTTTTTTAATCTTATCTGCAGATGCATGTTTTGTCACTCCTAGAACCTCATAATAATTCACCATCTTCTTCAAATGGTGTTATGCAAACTTTACTTCATCTGTTTTCATCAAAAACCTGAGGAACTTCCCAGTACTTCTCGGCACCTTGTGATCCTCAACGTTAAAATATATACATTCATAATAATGTCCAACATTCGCATAACCTTCTGTGCAATTCCAGGCCTGGGGTACTGGTAAACAGTATGGGAGAGGAAGGCTGTTGAGTTCAAAATGATTTGAACAGTCTGTTGTCAGGGAGAAACTGTGACTTCACCATTACGTCAGTTAACAGCTAGGTATCAGTAATTTGCATATTGTAACCCCATTGGTTATGGGATTGTGGTACTTGTCTTTTAGAATTAAATGACATCAGAGTAACAGCTGCATAAGTATAAACACATCAGCTGGGTATTTTGACTTTGGGAAATGGACAGTAAGATTTATGTTTAGAATAACTCATGAACACATTTACAATGTTTAGAATAACTCATGAACACATTTACAGTATGCCTATATAGACCACACGCATGGCTAAGATACATGATTTTTAAAGGACAGACGTAATAACCAAGCTGCAGACACTATCATAGACATTGCATTCTAGCAACTGAACAGACTATCTGCAGATGTTTTTAATCTGATTTTTTTAAAAAAAATCACAGTATCTTTACTTCTAGTACAGTATAACAATATTCTTGCTTCTTCTAGTACAGATGGCATCTGAAAGATCAGTTCAAACACTAATCATGCATGCTTTATACCTGGTTTATTTCTGTGTCCATTGAGTCAAGCTTGACAGTTCTTAATTTGCTGATTTTCATTTTTGATGTCCAATTTTTATTGCTTGTGTATTAGGAACCAGTCTTCTTGATAATAATAATAAAAAACTGAGTGCAAGAGCCACTTCACATTACAGGTTTAAAAATATGTATTTATGTTGAAATGTATCTTCAACTGCAATACTTTTTGATTCAACTCAACTACCCAATGTAGTGTAGTGAATAAAGTGATGGACTAGGATTCAGCAGGCCTGAGTTCGAATCCCCACTCAGTCACAGAAGCTCACTGGGGGAGTGGAACTGGTAAAACCACTCCTTAATTACTTCACTTACCTTGAAAGCCCTATTAGGGTCACTAGAAGTCAGTTCCAACTTGAGGGCACATAACATGACACTGATTTATTTCCATATAGTATCTCTCCCACAGATCACCTTTAGACTGTCTATACACAAGTTTATTCCTGCTCCACTTGAGGTCTGTATTGCTTTTCACCCATATGGATTTTTATGGTCATGACATGGTCACACTGACTGGTGAACCATGGAACATGCTCACAGAGAAATACATCTCTAGTAATACATTAATAGTTGTTTTCTCTGTATTCTTTCTGACAGACGGGAAAGGCCATTTGTTCTCCCCAAACTTTATAAGGCTGCTGAACTGCTATGTTTTTTCTAATCTTGATAACTGTTCATCTCCTTGGTTTAAGTAAAGATGTCAGTTTTATTTTGTTATTAATTGGTATTTTATTTTATTGTTTGAATTTTGTAGCTGTACTTTTGTGCATCTCCTTAAAGGGATTTTGGGGCCCAAAGACAGCCTAGGTAAAGGAAAAGGTTCCCCTTGACATTTAGTCCAGTCGTGTCTGAATCTAGGGCACAGTGCTCATCCCTGTCTCCAAGCCGTAGAGCCAGTTTTTGTCCGTAGACAGTTTTCGTGGTCACGTGGCCAGCGCAACTAGGCACGGAACGCTGTTACCTCCCCACCATGGTGGTACCTATTTATCTACTCGTATTTACATGCTTTCGAACTGTTAGGATGGCAGGAGCTGGGACAAGCGACGGGAGCTCACTCTGTCATGTAGATTCAATCTTATGACTGCTGGTCTTCTGACCCTGCAGCACAGAGGCTTCTGCAGTTTAACCCGCAGCACCACCAGATCCCCCAAAGACATCCTAACCAATCGATAAATAAATAACGCCCCCCGAAGAATCCCAGCAGTGACTCTCTAATTGCCAGCTACAATGCACTGAATGCTATGCTGTTTGCCTTCTGCATGCATAACAAAGTAATAGGATTTCAGCCACTTTTCAGATTCCAGCTCCCATCAGCACTAGCAAGAAAAGCTAAAGGTCCAACAAAAGGTTGCCGTCTGAATGACCACATGTTTTCTATCCCTGTTCTACAAGTTGGTATAGCTAGTTCAAGTGGCCAGATCAGGTATGGTAAAATATAGAGGCAGCACAAGTTGGCATTCTTAAGAGCTGTAGCCAGTCTTATGAAATGGGTAAGATCCAAACCCATCACCTTTTTTAAAGAAAGCCAACATCTCCAGGGCTGAGCAACTATGTGATAGTTCCTCATAAAATATACTAGTGGGGAGATATTCTCAACAGAAGATAAATCATAAAAATGCATAGATTTTTATAGATACCATGTACAGTGGTGCCTCACATTGCGACGTTAATTCGTTCCACAAAAATCGCTGTTGCACGAAAACGTCGCAACGCGAAATAAAAAAGCCCTTAGAAACGCATTAAAACGTGATCAATGCGTTCCTATTGGCTTAAAACTCACCGGTCAGCGAAGATCCTCCATAGCGCGGCCATTTCTGGTGCCTCTTAAGCGAGGAATCCGTCCCAGAAAACGGGCGGCCATGTTTTTTCCCCGGCGGCCATTTTGAAACCACCAATCAGCTGTGGGGAAATGGTCGCTTTGCGATGATCGGTTCCCGAAGCAGGGAACCGATCATCGCAAAGCGAAAATACCCCATAGGGAACATTGCAAAGCGATCGCAAAAGCAGTCACAAAATCTTCGTCACAAAGCGATTTCATCGCTAAACGGAGCACTCGCTAAGCGAGGCACCACTGTATAGGCAAATCAAGTGACACAAATACTTCTGAAAGGGTTAAATTCATGACTCTGCTTCTGATATCCATTGGGAAAATCCACACTGGCCACATTGTCCAGGCAGTGGCAGTTCTAAAATCTGCTGTGTGAACACCCCTTTGAAACCAGCAACATCTATGGCCATTGTGAGAATAGAACTGTCAATCTGAGTCCATCCGCCCAGTTCCCACACCATGTCAAAATGGTTACATGAATCAAAATTTAAGAGGTCAGAAAGGTTTTTATACATACCCTAGGTAGCACCTCCTAGATTTGCTTCATCTTTTCACATGCTCAAGAAATAAATCAGAAGTTGAAGCATACACAAAACAAGGTTCCAACTCCTGACAAGTTCAGGGAATCAGTTTTCGTTCAATCTGTTAATCTCACAAAGACTTGTGTTTTGTTACCACTGCCACACACAGTATTATCCTACCATGTTGCAACAACATTGGCAATAAAAGTCTGGGACCAACTATGAGAAATTTTCCTATCCAATTATTGTACAGTCAGGCATTAAGGACAATGAATGAATAGGATGACATTACTAGGAGCAGTTTCAGATTTTGAGAAATTAAAGACTTCCTCCTCCTGTCCACAACTCCCATGGCTTCTATGGAATGAAAGTGATTACATGGGAGCCATGGGACAGAAGGAGAAAATGCATCACCCCTGCTGGTGATGCCATCAACCTTCTGAAAGCATAGTTATGCCAACAGGATTTGGAGCCAGCAAGACCTCTGTTTGTTTTCAGCCTTTGAAGGTATGAAATAGACTGTATTAACAGAGAAGCATGAACATAATGAATTTCTTTTCCTTCCTAGCAATGCTGAGCCTTCCAACACCTGAGTAACCTTTATAAACATGCATGTCCAAATCAAGCAATAGCACTCTCTAGGGGCTCAGGGAGTCCATTTCAAGGTTAATGGTGGATACCAATTTAATTGCTGATCCTGCTGTACTTTCTCAACTGTGCTTCATTAGTAGTAAAACCTGGAGAACGGTTTAAATGGGCATTTCTTTAATAAGCAGTACAGATGAGTAAATAAACTCTGCTGGATAAGCAGCCTTTTCATTACACAATCCCGGCAGCTAATCCCAACACAACAATTATGAAAATATTGCTAATGTTTGTAGTTACAAAAACCTGTCATCATCCCTCCACCCAAACCCACTCCTGCAATTTATATGAGATGCATCAGAAAGCCAGGTCTCTGTAAAAGGAACTGGAATGTCTGTAGCCATGATAATGGAAAATTAGGTACATATCTTACATTTTAACTCTTAGAAAAACTATATATTGGATAAATTACTTCCTTGGGCTACAACTCTCAGAATTCTCGAAACATTTTGGTAATTGGGTTTATATCCAGGAGCTGTAATTTAATCAGACAGGCAATTTTCAAGCTCTGCATATCATTCAGCCAATTTTAAATTCAGCTAATTCAGTCCTAGGTAATATTTGCACCTACAGTGGAAGCCTCCTGAGAATGGTAGCAAAAGGTAAAGACAGACTGTCCGAACTGACCTACCTGTTCTTGAAAAGCATTCGCCTGTTCTTCAAAGCCCACCGTCCGGAAATAATTCACAACATCTGTAACTGCCCAATCAGCTGGATCAGGAGGTCTTCCATTCTCTACCAAGCTTGAAAAAATGCAGACCAAAATGTGAAAATCAAGAGTCCCTACATGGTGCTGTGCAGATTATTTACAATTCGTGCAAGAAGAGGATCCTCAAGGGTGAAGGCTGTGGATTTGAAAACAAAAGAAAAAAAACTTTGTTCTCATATATTCTACCACTCAGGGCAGACTAGTTGAGTTTGAGATCCTAAATTCATGCCATTTGTGATCTGTGTCTATTCCCCATTTGTGTCTCCTACAGAACACATTACTTTGTCTATTGTGCCTCCTACAGATCTCAAAAGCACACCAAACCTTCTAGCACAATAGTAGATTATTTGGACTTCCAATGGCAAATGAATGGGCTTCCATTCATATTTTTTTTCACACTGTTATCTGACTCTTCCTCAAAGGAGCTCAGAACCAAATGTATGCCCCATTTTAATACCCACAGCAATCCTATAAACTGGATTAGCTAGAGAAGTAGGTAACTGGCAACAGCACAGTTTTGCAGCTGACTGGGGATTTGAATCTGGATCGTTCTAAACCTGGCTCTCTAGCACGGCCTCTCCCAACATCATGCCATTAGTTGTGATGGCCTATGTTCCAGCCAGCACAACACCTTGACTATGGATAACAGGGACTGCAGTCCACAAAACTGGGGACACAGAGCTAGACAGATGACCTCAGGCAAAAAGGCACACAGGTGCAAAATGCTAGCCACAAACCTGATCAGGATACACTGGGCACCTCTGAGGAGCTCCAGGTTATGAAAGCTGCTGTAGCCACTGAACCATACAGGCCCTTCACAGTGACATTTTCCCAAGCTCTAAAGAGTCCCCCAGCCAACATGGCCAGTATACCTTGAGGAAAGTGTACATGGAGCTGGTCTTATCCAAAGATCCCACTGACTGTACTGGCTAAAACAGGAACACAGCACTTCAGAAGCTAAAGGATCATAGTTTAGTAGATTGGCTAGAAGGTTTGAATGTTTCTCTACATTACAATTTCCCTGCCCACTGAATGTGAGCATGACAAGCAGAACACTTCCAACCGAGCTTTCTTCACACCGCGCTGTCCACGTGTTTGCAATTAGCTTGCTTCTTTTAACCTGCAAGAAACTGTAGCAACCTGAATCTTTATTACCAATATAATTACCATATTTTTCTCTGTATAATATGCCCACACGTAAAAGATGCCCCCCACTTTTCTAACCCAGAATTTCTTTCTTTGCGAAAAAGTGCTTTCTTGCGAGGAAAGTGCTTTCCTCCTCCACTTTCTTTGGAAGAAAGTGGAGGGGGAAAGCAGGAACCATCAAAGCGATTCATCAAAGTGATTCTTGCTTCCCCCCTCCACTTTCTTCCAAAGAAAGTTCCTCGCTAGAAAGTGGAGAGGGAAATCAGGAGTCGCTTTGATGATTCCTGCTTTCCTCACTTGCGAGGAAAGTGCTTTCTCCCTCCAGTTTCCTCGCAAAAAGTAGAGGGGGAAAAAGGAATCAAAGCACTTTGATGATTCCTGCTTTCCCCCTCCACTTTCTCGTGAAGAAAGTGGAGGGGGAAAGCGAGGATCAAAGCACTTTGATCCCTTCCCCTCCTTACTTCCGTGTATAAGTTGACCCTCGATTTTTAATCTAAATATTTTAGAGAAAAGTATAATCTATCATATTATACATGGAAAAACATGGTACTTGGGTTAAACAGAACTAGCAACATCTCCAGGTGGCCTTGGAACAACCCTCCTCAAACTGGTAGCCTGCAGTTGTGTTAGGACTTTAATGCTCGTCATCCTGGAGATGGGCACCATTTTGGCTTAAGAAGGCCAGAGGACTGGAAAAGGCTGTAGTGAAACCATGACCCCAGATGAAAAAAAGGTGTGAAAGAATCCAGAAGTTCTATCTGCTCAAGTATGACAGGTTTAATATAATCAGGCACAGCCTAACAAATTACTGCACAAACCTGTTGAGTCCATATTGCTTATCTCTGAAATGTACTTCCTTTATGTTTAAAGAGAGAACACTAGGAACATATGTTGCCTGACAGGAATGTCACAGACATCTCCTAAACAGGACTGGGTTATTCAGTGTCAACTAGAGATGGGGACGAATATAAAAACAGATCGGTTTTTCCGACGAATACAGTTGATTTGTTAAATATTTGTCGATCCATATTTGTGGGTTCCAGGTCCCCCCATGAATACGAAGGGAAAAATATTTATCCATTTTTATTAATCCTTCGTATTAAAAAACAAACAAACAACAACACCATTCTGCCTACCGGACGGCAATCAACTAATCGGCAGCAGAAAGGCAGCCACCATCCCACACAGCCACCCAATACCACAGCCTA